TGACGTGCTATTGAAATCCCCTTCATCTAGAAAGCTGAAAGTTATATGCGGTCTTTACTTTTACTTTTGTTGTAGGTCTGTTTTTCTTTTAGCAGTGCAAGCTCAATAAGTAAACGTGCCAGAACTCCTGTCTTACTAAACAACCTGTTGGATTTATGTGTCTAGTGGTCTAGTGTACCATCTGGTGCACCTGCTCTGCTCTCTCTCATTATTCAAACGTATAAAGGCTTCTGTCGTTCCGTTTAATGGATCATTGTGGTGCAGCTGGTATATAGCTTATTCAGCAGTGCAATTTCCTGTACAACTCAATTCTGAAGAAGTGAAACCATAGCAGGCTTTTCTGTTACTTGCACAAACCATATGAATCTAAAAGGGGGGAGGGGGGCATAATTGGAGTAAGTCAGTAAGAATCCATGTGCACTCTGCCCAGTGGTACTGATGAAGTATTCTGCAAGCATAGATACAACAGAGCCACAGTGATATCAATAGATGTGCAGGCAGAATGATTGACAGCTTTAGTTTCCCTGCAGACAAATTATTTAATAACGGTTTGCATCTTATAAGGTAGGATAATACAAGCCTATGTAGGTAAAAGTATGCAGACTTGCTCCTTACCCCCATCTATCTACTTGTAGCCTTTACCGTTTTGGTACTCACAACTCGTCCTGCAGCAGATATATAGACGCCTTCTGAAAACCTTCATTTACTGCTGCTGTGGTGCAGAATAGACCTGCCATATTGGACAGCAGAAGACTAATTTACGTGGCTGCCCAAGGTTTTCAATAAAAAACAGGCTAGCATTAGAGAGACACTGCCCAGGGTCACCACATTGTAGACCAGTACTATGGTGCCCATAGATGACTGGATTGGGTACAATCAGACAAGGCAGGATCACTATTGTAAGGGGACACTGGCAGCATCTCCGGCAGAGGACTTCAGAGACTGTTACATAGCTAGTATGGCTGAAAAAATACATCCATCCAGTTCAACCATAAAAAAGTTATCCTATACCCGCAGTTGATCCAGAGGAAGGCAAAAAGCAAAGTATGATGCAATTTGCTCCTGTAGGGGAAATAAATTGTTTCCCGACACCCTGAGAGGCAATCAGATATTCCCTGGATCAACTTTACCTATAAATGTTAGTACCAGTTATATTCTGTGTATTTAGGAATCCAGGCCTTTTTTGAAGCAATCCACTGAGCTGGCCAGAACCAACTCTTGAGGGAGTCTATTCCACATTTTCACAGCTCTCACTGTGGGGAAAAAAAAAACCTTTCCGTATTTGGAGATTAAATTTATTTTCTGCCAGACGTAAAGAGTGCCCCCTTGTCCTCTGTGATGACCTCAGGGTGAATAGCTCTACACCGAGTTCACTATATGAACCACTGATGTATTTATACAGGTTGATCATATCCCCCTTAATCTCCTCTTCTCAAGAGAGAATAGATTCAGTTCCTCTAATCTTTCCTCATTGATGATCTCCTCCATGCCTCCTCTTATCAGTTTGGTTGCCCTTCTCTGTACTTTCTTCAGTTCCCCAATGTTCTTTTTGTGAATTGGTGCCCAAAAGTGAACTGCATATTCCAGATGAGGTGTTACTAATGATTTGTACAGGGGATAATGATATCTCTTTCTCTGGAGTCTATACCTCTTTTAATACAAGAGAGGATTTTGCTCGCTTTAGAAACCGCAGCTTGGCATTGCATACCATTATTAAGCTGGTGATCTACCAGAACTCCCAGATCCTTCTCCACCATTGATTCCCCCAGTTGTACCCCCCCTCCTAGTATGTATGATGCATGCATATTCTTAGCCCCCAAGTGTATAACTTTACATTTATCAACATTAAACCTCATTTGCCACATAGTTGCCCAATTAAACAGTGCATTGAGGTCGGCTTGTAAGTTGGAGACATCCTGTAAGGACGTTATTCCACTGCACAGCTTGGTGTCATCTACAAAGACTGAAATGGCATTTATAATCACATGACCTATCTTCCTACTCTGATGCAATGTGAGCTGTTCTTTCTATTCGCATGATTTAATGGAAGAGAAGAAATCCGATGCATAGATAGTCTGCAAACTATTTAGTATCATTGATGACACAATCGGCCCCCCTGTACTATTGATCATTGTGTGGGTTTTTTTTTTTGTTTTTTTTTCGTATACCCTAATAACTAGCCATGCTTGTGATATGATGGTGGTTTTCTCAAGAAAGATATCAGGAAGCGAGTGTCATACTGGGGGAAATAAGCGGAAGTTTCTTGCAAAGGACTTGAGAAACCGTGGATTGCATTTACTACTCGCCTATGTCTTTTGCTGAAAGACTTTTGCTTTTTAAAAGTGTGATGGCGTTGCTACAACAATATCTATATATTCTGACAATTGCAGAGAAGCACAGAACTGTGACCTGGAGCAACTGTTTACATTTCCTATAGACAAGCGTGGGCTTTTTTTATCAGAAAATAGGTGCAGGAACTCAACCATGACCCCCCAAAACCCCCGTGCCCCCCCACACACACCCTCCAAGCCACATCAAATAGTGGGAGTGGTCAAATTTCACTAACAGTTGGAGGGTCTTAAAGGGCCATGAAATACCAGGATTACATTACATACCAAGCAAAGAGTTTGGGAGGGGGGGGGGGGGGGGGGGGGTTTCAGGCAGAGTTCAGGGTGTGCAGCATGCAGAGTGTGGGTGTGCGCTATGTACATAGCTCCGCATCTCACTTGTAGAAAGATCACCCAGTGGAGGTGTCGGCATCCGCACTGCACACCGGGCACCTGCATCTCTGGGAGCCACTCAGGAGATCAGATCTGTGGGAACCGTTGGAAGACAAGCTGTCACTTGTAAACACAGAAATCCCTCTACTGTGTTTACAAGTGATAGTGGTGAGCAGGGAGCAGATGGTTTAAGCCAGAGGTGGTGGAAACTGAGTTCCACTAGTTCCAGCTGAATAAAAGCCCTGGAAATACAGGAATGCCACTGCTGACCTACTGAAAATGCCTAATGCTTGGCTGCTTTTGGCTTTATTTGGGTCAGTAAGTCGGAAACTACCAGAGTGATGTCAGACAGTTGGTTTGCGTAGTTCTGCTTGACCAATAAATCTTAAGGTTCTAAAGCAATTGGATTTGCATGGAGAAGAAGTAAGCAAAGGCAGCCTACTTATTCTCTCCGCATAGGTCTCCTGAAAGGTATGTCTGCTGAGGTTTACAGCTTTGCAGTTAATTCTGCTTTTCATTTTGGAATGATATGCAGATATGAGAGGAAATGTCTGCCAGTAATACACCCAAAATTTGCTTTATGGTGTGGGAAAATGATTGTTACATGTAGCAAGGATTGCACACATGCTTCCAAAATGCACAGGGTAAAGCGTCAATGAGCATAGAAAAATGCTTCCAAAATGCACAGGGTAAAGCTTCAATGAGCATAGAAAAATGCTTCCAAAATGCACAGGGTAAAGCTTCAATGAGCATAGAAAAATGCTGAGCGCTCCTTTGTGTAGAAGACTGATTCCCCCTTGTGTAGAAGAGATTCCCCTCTTCTCCTCATTACATCTATGACAGTGCTTGTGATAGAATAAGAGTTGCACAGCGTAATGGAACACTTGTAGGAGAGAAACCGTAATCGTTTTTAACTTTGCAAGCAGCAGCACATCAGTATCTGGAAGGCACATATTTGTGCACAGTTCCCTAAATAAATAAATAAACAGAAGTGAAAAAAATGTTATGTAAGTGTTTATTGTACTATATGTGCATTTTCAGGTCTCATTTTCAGGGGAAATAACTGAATACAAAACCTAATCACAGAAGTTCCTTTTTTATGCAGGATGATGTGATATAAAATCCATATTGACACATATTAGGGCAGTTGGGATCTGCTCCGGATTACACAGACGTGTATAAAACAAGATAAATAATAGTACTGGATCTGAGGTTATCAACATATAGTGGCTAACCTTCTATATCTGAATTCTCAGGGCTGCTCACTTTATTTTGTTTTTTTTCATTTATTTTACTTTATGTAAGATCAGACTGCGCTGAGCTGCAGGAAAAGAAATGAGACTCCAGACTGGTTGAGTAAAGAGGGGGACAACCAGTTCTATCAGCATCCATTCAAAAGTGACATCACTTTTGGGTGGACTGACGCTTTCAGCTTGCGCTTGTAGTAGGCCCCCATTCATACCTCTGGCAAGCTTCGTTATTCTCTAAAGGAAATGTTTCCTTTAACATCAATCAGATTTTTCTTTTCTTAATGCAAGATATGATTGTAATAAATTGAATGAATGTGGTCATATGGGTATTTTTTGGGGGTTTGTTTGTCCGTAGCAAAAAGTCTTCCGCCAACTATTTTTAAATTACCAAAGCATTGTATTTTTGATCTTAAAACATTTGGTCAGTTAAAGCTTTTGTGAATGTTGTTGACCAGATTAAAGTGCTTGTAAAGGCTCAAGGTTTTTACCTTCATATATTCTTTGCATGAAGGTAAAAAGCCTTCTGTAGGCAGCAGCCCCCCTAATATTTACCTGAGCCCCATCTCAATCTACCAATGTGCACCAGAGCAGCGGCTCCTCAGAGTTTCTCCCTCCTCACTGACTGAGACAGCAGCAGGAGCCTGCTACTGTCAACCACAGCCAGTTAGAGGGCTGGGATGATCTGCTGTTTGTGTCTGAATGGACGGAGCAGCGACTCGGGTGCCCCCATAGCAAGCTGCTCGCTATGGGGGCACTCAGCAGGAAGGAGGGGCCAGAGTTCCGGCAGGGGACCCAAAAAGAGGAGGATCAGGACTGCTCTGTGCAAAACCATTGCACAGAGCAGGCAAGTATGACATGTTTGTTATTTAAAAAAAAAAAAAAAAAATCAGCCTTTAATATCACTTTAAATATGTATCAATAAAACAGGTGTTGGCTTTCAGTAGATTAGTTTAAAAATAAAAAATCTCTATATTTTTGGTTCTTGGTATTCATCATATTTCCTTTTTTTTCTTTTTTTAATTTTAATTCAGTGGCGACAGATGTTTTCAGCTCCAAATATCTGGCTGTCCAAGCCCAGAAGAAGATTCTTGGCAAGATGGCGTCATCAAAATACATCGCAACATCCTTGATTGATGACACCAGTGGGGAAGTGTTAGATGAGCTATATCAAGTCACCAAAGAATTCACACAAAGCAAGAAAGATGCTGAGAAGATCATCAAGAACCTCATCAAGACAGTGATAAAGCTGGCTGTCCTTTACAGAAATAACCAATTCAACCAAGATGAGATTGCACTGATGGAGAAATTCAAGAGGAAAGTCCACCAGTTGGCCATGACTGTGGTCAGTTTTCACCAAGTTGATTACACATTTGACCGAAATGTGTTGTCAAAATTGTTGAATGAATGTCGTGACCTTCTTCATCAGGTCATCCAACGCCATCTCACAGCAAAGTCTCATGGACGTATTAATAACGTGTTTGACCACTTCTCAAATTGTGAGTTTTTAGCTGCTCTGTACAATCCATTTGGACCTTACAAACCCCATCTTCAGAGACTATGTGATGGTGTGAACAAAAAATGTTGGATGAGGACAATATTTAAGACTCCAGAAAGGTGAAGTTTCTTAGAGTTACTTGTTGGAAATTGAGTTCGGAAACAGATTGCCATGTAGGAGAAAGAGACCACTTGTGAAAGGTTGTTTAGTCTGCTAATGTTAACACTGGATTATTTTGTTATCTAGGGACAGTTTCTGGTTCTCCCTGGACCAGTGGTACTGAACAGTTATTACATGCAGATAAAACTCCTCATACATGCTGCACATACAGTAGCTTGCAAGTGGAAAGGAAACACCTTGAAGAAAAATTCTCCAGTTATGTTGGAATGTTACAACGGTCTGCCATAAGGGTAAAGCCATAAATGGCTATTTTCAAGGTTGCATGATGCAAAAGAAAATTGCACGTGTGTTTGCCTCTGTTGCTATGTAAAATATATTCTTTTTGCATTTATATGATCTTGATAAGTAAATGAATAAAAAGGCAGCTTAATTTTTGCTTATTTTTCTAAAATCTTTATGTAATTATTATATTAATGCAGATATTGAAACTTTGTGGTCATCAAAGTGCACTGCAATTTATGTGATACATTAACCCAGTGCAATACAGTGATAATCAGTACACAAGTATTGTCATTTAGGGCTGTTTATTTCTTTATGTGGGAAGCAGAATTGCACTTTTCTTATTGCCAGTCAAGCTGTCATCCAAGAAAATAAAAATGTATCCATTCAGAAGCTGAAAAGTTGTGATGGCCTTTTATTTTCAAAGCATGTTGTACACACATTGAAATACACAAACAGGTTTTCTGCAGTTTTGAAAGTCTTTGAGCTTCAGAGAAAATATACCTTTTACTATCACAGAAGTAAAACAATAACCAAGGTCCGCTAACAACTTGTAGGCTTAGTGAAGGTGTAGTTTATCAAATTTTTGGCTGTATAGTAAAGTGAATCTCTCACAAACCTATCATGAAAACTAAATTAACAGAGGTCACCTTTAGTAGCACAGGTCAGAGGATCAGTATATCTAAACTGACATGCAAATATCCACTTTTTATAGAAAAGGTGATGCTTGCTTCTACCTCGTCCTATCTCCTGAGGTTAGTTATTTGGACAGGATTGAGGACAGGTAGACATTTACAAAAAAAAACCCAAAACTTGCATATAATTTCGGCTACCTATATTTGCATCCTACTAATTTTGTGGTTTTCACCAAAGGTAGTTATTGCTTATGCATATCAGCATCATATATCCAGGCAAAATTACCCACATTTGTGACAGGTTATTTTAACATTTTTGAAACTTCACATCCCATCTTTGTCATTTCATATTATGGAGATGGTAACAGTTTTGGGTGCACTGATCCTTTAGAGTGAACCTTAACCAAAATATTTTTAAGACCGTAGGAAATATGAATTTCAGGAAGATTGTGATGTCTTGAAGTACCCAATTTAGTCCTCTAAGAGATCCCTATGTCCACATGACTCTCCTTTGATCCTAGGATGGAGTCTGGATTGGGCTAGTCAAGGTTCCATGTACAATTTCTATGTTGTACCCCACCAGCTGTCATTCAGCTGTGAAATACCCAAACCTTTACTACCTACTGAAGTTCTAGCATTTGATCATTGAATTAGATGCAGGGGTGTCAAACTGGTGGCCCTCCAGCTGTTGAGAAACTACAAGTCCCATCATGCCTTTGCCTTTGGGAGTCATGCTTGTAACTGTAAATCTTGCAATGCCTCATGGGACTTGTAGTTTGGCAATAGCTGGAGGGCCGCCAGTTTGACACCTGTGAAGAGTGTAAAGCTTTGTGTTGGAGAGGTCAGGGCTTACTCTGGAACAGAAATTGAGGCTCCATGAATAGACTTGGCCCAGGAACGATGTGGGCTCCACATGGATCAATGTGAAGTTTAGCACTTGTACTTGCAGGTACCACAAGAGATTTGCACTTCAGCACTGTTACATTTAGAAATGTTTCAGGCCAGGTACTCATGGGACATAAAACAGAAACTGAAACTAACATTTTGACTGAAAACATAAGATCACCTTGTTTACACATAGACTTGTTCAACAAAACTGCAAAGATATATTATGGCAACATTTGCAAAATGCGGTAAAATGGGCATTTTAAATAACACTGGTAACATTAGCTGTGTGTAAAGTCACACTAAAAATGTTGAGTTTTTTTTATCAGTGGTTTTTAGCTTTTTGCTGCATTTTTTTGTTCACCCACCATGCTTCACTTTTTTAGTGTTTTTTTTTTTTTTTTTTGACCAAAAAAAACTATTTTTTTTTTTTCAGTTTTGAGGCAAAATGTCCAAAAATGCTGATTTGCTGCATTTTTCGCAGTGTTTGAAACTTCTGTGTTTTTTACAGTCACACACGGGACTTCTAAAAAAACTCCTCTAGAAACCAGGTAGCCCACTAGTCCTTGGGTTCTTTTTTTAACCAGCCAAAATACGTTGATTACAGTCTGTCTGCATGGACACATAGGATAACATGCTGGGGAGTTTACTGGGAAAGCTGTAGAAAAAAAACGTCAAAATTGTGGCCAAAAAACAGCAGCTTTACTACTGTAATGTGCATGAGAAGTTTGGTACATGAATTACAATTCCAAATGTATACTATTTACAGCATTGGGGGTTGAAATTTATGGCCACACGAACTGCGATAACTGGGATTAGCCTTATTATTGCGATTTGCCTTATTGAATAGAATGGATAGCGCAGGAAACCATTATTATACAAGGGAAACCATTATAGCATCAGATCACTGGGAATTAAGTACATTTCAGACCTGTGATAATCAAGTATCTGACATCTGGATAAATGGCTGAACACTGGTATACCATGTAATTATAGTCTCTACTATAGCCCACAGCTTCAACATAAAATTGGGTGCAGCGCTAAAATGAACATAACCACATGTGTAAAATATGTATATAAATGATAATAAAAGCATCTGTTAAGGTGACCAGTGACAAGGTGCTAGCAGATCAATATGAATAGCTAGCTCTCCCAGAAAAAGGCAGCAACTGCCTTGAGCTACTCTCAGATCTAGAGTGTGAAGATAGTGGTGTGCTCCAGCTAGGAGGGGTGACCTACTCGGGAGATATGACCCTCTTGCCCATAGGACTGACTGAAGAGGAGAGACAGAGAAAGCTGAGAGAGATGAGCTTTATGAAGCCTACTGTATCCAATGTCGATTGAGGGATGGAGCACATAACATAGTGAGGGCTTATACAGCCTCTACAAGTAGCAAAGACGCCTGTGAAAGCATGTTGGATGCTGGAGAAGGATATAAGGAATATACAGAGTGAGCTTCTAACCACCCACAGAGCTACATGAGAGGGGAGAGAGCCATTGCTGACAGCAGAAGTTGAGCAGTGAGGGACACCAGACCAGACCATATTCACCTTAAAGGAGCCTCCAGTTTGCTACTGAGCGTGTTATCTCTAAATGCGCACATTGATTGTGCATCTGGTGAGTGCGCAGTCTTTATACTTTTGGCCATATCACCACCTCATTGGATAGACCACCAGTTATTGGAAAAATCTTCATGATATTCCATGCACCTATTTTGGACATTTGCTGATTATCATTTACAGCACTATATTGTATGCACTGCTGGTCACCACATAGTGACAGAGTTTCACGTTATCACGGAGTCACTTTATTCATTTTTGCTAGCACCTTGTCACTGGTCACTTTAACAGATTTCTTATTGATTTTCCAATTATATACAGTAAGTGATGACATAAAACATTGCCGTTATATGCATAACCACAAAGTCACTTTATTCATATTGATCTGCTAGCACCTTGTCACTGGTCACCTTAACAGATGCTTTTATTGTTATTTATATACATATTTTACACATGTGGTTATTTCATTTTAGCGCTGCACCCAAATTTATGTCGATGCTTTGGAGGTGTTTTTGGTACCTTTTGGTGTCTCAGCGGCTATATTGACTTCAAGCGCTTACTTTACCTCTTTGTGCTTTTATAGCCAACAGCTGAACTTTAAAAAGAGTAAATTTGCCCAACTTTGCTTGTGTATTTCGCAATGCATTCAAGGCCTAGCCCTTCATCTGTTGCACAACAATACACCGCTTGCCGTGACAGCAGAATAGTTTGGTATCTCAAGAACAAATGCTACAGTGCCACATGATGGCTATCTCTTTCTTTTAAAAGTATTAGCTCTCACTCTCTCACACAGTTTTGTGGTAAACCATCTTTATTGCTATTTGTAATGCAATTATCTTTCTTAGATTGACATCTTCCCAAACATGCTTATTTTCTGAGTGCCTTATGCAAACCATGACAGTGTAATTCAAGAATTCAAGTAAACACATCCTACAGCAATAGCAAGATCTCTCTGTTCTGTGAGTTCTCTTTCCTGGTAACCTGGATACCAAACTTCAAGGGATCTGAGGAAGAAAAAAAAGCAGTAAAGCTCACACTTTGCAGTGGGGGGAAGGAAAAGTTTCAGTCTTCAAAGCCTTTAAAACTATTTTTTTTTTTTCAAATCTATCACTAAATAAATAATGTGGAAAAATCTGTTTTGCTTTTCAGTACACAATAAATGTAAGTGCAAACTTTTATTCAATCAGAAATTCAGCATTCTTTATTTAAGAAAAAAATCACAAACAGTCTGTGCTAGTATAAGCTTCTAAAGCGGCTTCCATAAAGAACAATATATGTAGTTCTTGTTCCAATCTTAAGAAAAAAATTGCAGAACTAGGAGTGAGAATGAAACTTCTACCATTTTTATCCAAAAGAAGAGGAACAGAACATGTGATCTCCAATATTGTAACTTGATTACAGTACAAGATTGCCACCATAATCCTCCAAGTGAAAACTCGCCAAATTGTAGGACCTTGCAGCATAAAAGAGGTTGATATGCATTTGAATGGTCAACATGTTCGTATCTGAATTACTACTCATTCCACTTATTCCAAAACTATAAAAATACTCAAGGTCATGGTTACCAATTGAAAATCGGAGGCTATATACAAATATATATACATTTTTAAAGAAAAAGAATGAGAGG